CAAGAAAAAAAGAGAGAAGACCCAAATAAACACAATCAGAAATGAAAGAGGAGAGATTACAACAGATACCACAGAAATACAAAGGATTGTAAGAAATTACTACCAAGAAGTCTATGCCAAGAAATTTGAAAACCTAGGTGGAATGGACAAATTTCTAGAAAAATATAATCTTCCAAAACTCAATGAAAAAGAAGCAGAAAGCCTGAACAGACCAATAACAACAAAAGAAATTGAAGCAGTAATCAAAAAACTCCCAACACACAAAAACCCGGGACCAGATGGTTTCACAGGAGAATTCTACAAAGCATTTAAGGAAGAGCTAACCCCTATCCTTCAGACTATTCCAAAAATTCCAAAAAGATGGGAGACTCCCAAACTCTTTTTATGAGGCCAACATTATCCTAATTCCAAAACCAAATACAGACACAGCAAAGAAAGAAAACTTCAGGCCAATATCGCTGATGAACATTGATGCTAAAATCCTCAACAAAATACTGGCAAACTGCATCCAACAATACATTAAAAAGATCACACACCATGACCAGCTTGGCTTCATCCCAGGGACGCAAGGATGATACAATATTTGCAAATCAGTAAATGTAATATATCATATAAACAAAAGCAAAGACAAAAACCACATGATCACATCAATAGATGCAGAAAAAGCATTTGATAAGGTACAGCATCCATTTATGATAAAAACACTCAGCAAAGTGGGAATAGAGGGAGCATTCCTCAACATAATAAAGGCCATATAGGAGAGACCTACAGCCAACATTATACTCAATGGGCAAAAACTAAAATCTTTTCCACTAAGATCAGGAACAAAACAAGGCTGTCCACTTTCACCACTTCTATTCAATATAATACTGGAAGTTTTAGCCACAGCGATCAGACAAGAAAAAGAAATAAAAGGCATCCAAATCAGAAAGGAGGAAACAAAACTGTCACTGTTTGCAGATGCCATGATAGTATACATAGAAAATCCTATAGACTCTGCCCAAAAACTGCTTGATCTAATAAATGAATTCGGCAAAACAGCAGGATACAAAGTCAATATCCAGAAATCAAAGGCAGTTCTGTACACTAACAATGAAACAGCAGAAGCAGAAATCAAGAAAAAAATCCCATTTGATATAGCAAAAAGAAAAATAAAATACCTAGGAATAAACCTAACCAAAGAGGTAAAAGACCTGTATTCAGAAAACTACATAACATTGAAGAAAGAAATCAAGGAAGACACAAACAAATGGAAACATATACCGTGTTCATGGACTGGAAGAATTAACATCATCAAAAGGTCCATACTACCCAAAGCAATTTACAGATTCAATGCAATACCTATTAAAGTACCAATGGCATATTTCACAGATATAGAACAAACACTTCAAAAATTTATATGGAACCATAAATGACCCTGAATAACTGCTGCAATTTTAAGAAAGAGAAAAGTAGGAGGGATCACAATACCTGATACTAAACTATATTACAAGGCCACTATAATGAGAACAGCCTGGTACTGGCATAAAGACAGGCACATGTACCAGTGGAGCAGAAAAGAGAACCCAGAAATTACCCAAGGCTCTATGGTCAATCAACATTTGACAAAAGGGGCAGCAACATAAAATGGAGTAAAAATAGCCTCTTCAACAAATGGTGTTGGGAGAACTGGACAGCCATGTGCAAAAAAAATGAAGCTCGAGTATCAACTTACGCCTTATACAAAAATAAATTCAGGGTGAATAAAAGACTTAAATATAAACCATGACACCATTAAAATCATAGAGGAGAAAATAGGCAGGAAAATCTCAGATATTTCATGCAGAAACATTTTTACTGACTTGTCCCCTAGAGCAAGGGACATAAAGGAAAGAATAAATAAATGGGACCTCATCATAATAAAAAGCTTCTGCACAGTGAAACAGTATTAAAATAAAAAAGAGAACCAGCTGTATGGGAAAAAATATTTGCCAATGATACCTCAGACAAGGGTTTAATCTCCAAAATATATAAAGAACTTACACGACTCCACTCTAAGAAGACAAGCAACCCAATTAAAAAAATGGGCAAAGGCCTTGAACAGACACTTCTCTGAAGAGGACATACAGAGAATCCAGAGACACATGAAAAGATGTTCAATATCGCTAGCTATCAGGGAGATGCAAATTAAAACTCATCACTAAAATGGTGAGATACCACTTCACACCGGTCAGAATGGCCATCATAAAGCAACAAACAACAAGTGTTGGAGAGGTTGTGGAGAAAAGGGGACCCTACTGCACTGTTGGTGGGACTGCAGACTGGTACAACCACTATGGAAAACAGTATGGAACCTTCTCAGAAAACTAAAAATGGATCTGTCTTTTGACCCTGCAATTCCCCTGCTGGGACTATATCCTAAGAACTCTGAAACACTAATCCAAAAGAACCTATGCACCCCAATGTTCACAGCAGCACAATTTACAACAGCCAAGTGTTGGAAGCAACTTAGGTGCCCATCAGTAAATGAATGGATCAAAAAACTGTGGTACATTTACACAATGGAATTTTATGCAGCAGAAAGAAAGAAGGAGCTCCTACCCTTTGCAACAGCATGGATGGAGCTGGAAAGCATTATGCTAAGTGAAATAAGCCAGGCAGTGAAAGACAAATACCATATGATCTCACCTTTAACAGGAACCTAAACAACAAAACAAACAAACAAGCAAAATATAGTCAAAGACACTGAAATAGAGGACAGGCTGACAGTGACCAGAGGGGAGAGGGGAGAGAATTTCAGGGGAGAATGGGAAGAGTTTACAGAAACAAATATAAAGGGCACATAGACAAAAACTAGGGGGCATGGAAATGGGAGGGAGGTGGGGAGGGATGGATGGGTGGGCTGGAATGGGAATAAAGGACAGAAAACTGTACTTGACCAATGACTGAAATAAAATTTTTTAAAAGGAAAGAACAGTCTATTTTCTCAATATATCTGTGACAAAACACTCTTACTTGAAGAAAAATATTGTTAAATGTTAAGTTTGACTTTGCTAAAGAGATTAACTTTAAAAATACATTATGATATTGCTTTTATTCTGGGAGTGCATGATGATAATTTACAAAAATATAAGAACTTTATGTGTGGTAAAATATTGTTTTTATTAATTTACAATTTAGTTTATGTAAAGTAGGTGTGATTGTGATGTAATGTGTATATTGTAGCATTTAATAAGACTGACTCATTTGCGGCAAAAGGGTGTGTGAACCATAGGGTTGATTTTAAAATATCCAGCCTATTTCCAGAGTTCTCTTTGTTACCTAAATGACTTTTCTCTTAAATAAGCTATAATTTTCTAGTACAATTATCATATAATTCCACTTTAGCACTTTTTGTCCTCAGTGTTTATCCAAATGACGGAACAGGAACTTCCAATGGACTCACAGTTAATGCTGCTTATTCTGACACAGTTTCTGTAGACAGAATTCCTTTCCCCTTATACATGCAGACAGAGACTGATAGTTTAACTTTCGAAGACCAAAATCTGCTGGCCTAAAATCTCTTTCAGCGAGGTCTGTAGATATCGTATGTACTGAACCCTTTACTTATACAATGCCTGCATCAACAGGTTGCTTTGTAAACATTGTAATACATCTCACAAGGACTCAGAATATTTTAAACTCAGTTTTTAGTGCAACAAATTAGTATGCAAAGTTCAACAAACTTTGGAAACTAAAGCAACTATTTAACCAAAAAGCTTATAAGATCTAGCTATCTATCTGTCATCTATCTACCATCTACCTATCTATCATCTATTTATCATCTATCTATCATCTATATATAAATCTATCATCTAGCTATCATATATGAAGATTGTATATGTTAAAGAAGAAATTTTAAAAAATATAAAGAATGTGACACTTTTAATGGATAAAAACTTGAAATTCTCCTTTTGAGAAATAATAATGCATAAAATATCTTGTGTTTGTAAGAATATTAAAAATGGGTAGCTTAACTATAAAGGAAAAACTCAAAGCATAATAGATAATAATGTTGATTGCTAATGCTGGCAAAAGGGAAAGACATTTGAATAGAAATTATTTAAAAGGTAATCACATCATCATTATCTCATAAAATTCAATCAGAAAAAAATCTTTAAAAGTCTAAATGATATAAATAAGTTTTATTTAAAAATAGAATGATTGCATTATTCTTTGTGTATCAGAGTCAAATTATTTATTAGATTAAAAATTTCATTTTCTCTGTAGCTAAATATCACATAATATTTCTTCTTACTACTGAATGTATTCTATCACTCATGAAGAGTTCAATACTTGTGAACTGGTGTCAAATATTTTCTGTTTCTTAGTCCTCCATTTTTTTTTTTACTTTTTAAAAAATATTTTATTGTTGTTCAAGTACAGTTGTCTGCATTTACCCACAGCTACCCCACCCTAGACATCCCCACCTCCCTCTCCTGATGCTACCCGCCTTGGTTTTGTCAATGTGTCCTTTGTAGTTGTTCCTGAGAACCCTTTCCCTATTTTAATGACATTGGATTCAGTCACTATCACCTTTAAGCTCTTTCTCCAAGGAAAGACAAAAGAGCACCCTCCTCCCAACAGAAAGAAATCTTAGTCTCAAAATGCCCTCCACTTGCTTAGAACATTTTTATTTAAAATTTTATCTTCTTTCTTTCCAATGTCAAAAGGATCTTCATTATCATCAGACTCCTAAAATGAAAGCTGAAGAAATGTCATTGACAAAGTGTAGGGAGAGAAGAAATGAGGCCATCAAACATTGAATAGACTGACTTATAAAACAAAACTTAACTTCCCTTTCTCAACTGTACCTTCTCTTGTTGCTCCAGTTCTGAAATGGAAGTTTAGCTACTGATCACAGTAAAAATGGACAATTTAAAATGCCATTCAAGACAATATGTTTTGCTATGCACTATTTGACAGAAATATTTCACATCAGTATTACACATCAAACTATTGCATTTCAAATTAATACTTACTGTGGTCCAACTGACCTGCTGACCTAGGTCTGTAAAGTAGAGTGTGACAATGGAGGAAGCTGCAACACTTTGAATGGTTATGTAGTCCTTCAAAAAAGGCCCACCTTAAATAATAAGGAAGTACTATTTTAATATAATTTCAAATCATAATGAAAATTTTAATTAGAAACCAATAAAAGCTAAGATGAAATTAACATAGAAATTATGATGTATAATAAAATTTTTGATATAAAGTTAAATGTGTTTATACCCATTTTATAAAATATATCTAGTAAATATTCAAATGCCAGTGTTTACCCAATGCTATCTAAACAGATTACCAATAGCTACAATCCTGTTATGTTCTCAGAAAATGTAATATTAGATAACATCATAATCAAATATGACACAAGGTATTTTTAAAAGTATAATTTCAGACGTCAGTAGATACATCAGTACATCTCAACTGTTCCCTAAATAATTATACTAACAGGATACATTAGGTGGCATAAAATGACTTCAATGCTTATTGCTAAGCACCAGGGGAGAGGCAAGGTTTACCTTATAAAAAAAAAAAAGCAAAAGAAAAGCCCTGTGGGTACTGTGTGGAAAATTGGAAGAAAGGAAGCAAAGAGATTATTTAGGAGTACTTTATAATTTATCAAGAGATGGTACATATTTGGATTAAGGTGGCGGTGGAGGAAATGAAAAAACAATTGTTAGATACACATATATTTTGAACATACAGTAGGTTCAACTTAAGAGGACAGAATTCAGTGATAAAAATTGGTCTTAGATTTTTGGGCTCAGCAGTTAGGTTTTTTGCAACCTCATTAACTGGCATGAAGAAGACTGAGAAAAGAGCAGGACTTGTTGAAATATAAGATTTCAGTTAGGATATGTGAAGTATGTGATAAATATCAGACATTTAAGTGGGAGCTGTGATGTAGGAAGTTGGATAGAAATGTCTAGGAATATAATCTTAAAATTTAAATGCACAGGGCTTGATGAGATTATTTATTTTGTATGCACTTTAAAATGAAGACAATGAAAACAGAGACAGAGCTTTTTCGCACTCCAGAATTTTGAAGTAGTGAGAGAAGAATATAGCAAAGACTATGTAGGAACAAAGAATCCAGCCACTCTGTGTACTTAAGCTAATAAATAAGTATTATTTTAAACTGCTAAGCTTGTGGTAATTGGTTGAATGAAAATAGGAGGCTAATGCAACATGGATTGAGGTAAGGACTGATATTCAAACAGTCATTGATGTCATTGTGACAATCATGTATAACAACATGAAATGCTAATAAGGACAAACATTCTGATGGCTTTGTACAACTTGAAAGTGTGTTAAAAACATATTTCCAACATGCACCCATTGACACCTTTGGGGAGGGGATTAGTTATTACTCTTTTATCACCCTTGTTAACTTCAAGGAACAGACCACTGGCTTTATACTTTAAAATGTAGTCTCGTCAATATAATATTTATATAAAACAACCTGACAGAAAACAGATATAACATTAATTATACCACTCTTAGGCTTATACTATCATTTATACCACTCTTAGTTATCAGGAACCCCCTGTCTTTGGCTCCATGACTATATCTTTCTAAAGGGAGAGGATTGTGTAGGGCCAGGGGAACATGTCTAAAATGAGTTTATGCCATTATTCCCTATGTCATACCTCAGCCATTTAAGGCTTGAGTTTTCTACATAAATTAACTCAAGCCATATACCTTCCTTGGGGATTTCCTCTCAAGAATGGACCAGATACTAAGGGGTATATCTTGGGATTGGTCATGGCTGTTATATAATGGGCATGGATAGAGGGAGGAGTAATAGTAGGAAAAGGACCAACTCAACCCATGCTTCACTTTTATATTGTAGAAAATCAGTAATTCTAAGAATCAGAAATTCAACCCTCTACTTTCAGAACATCATTAAGTCCTGATAATCAATCAGATTGGAAGAAAGAACACATTTTAGTTGCCAGTTTGTATGAGAGACTTATTGCAATCATAAGAACAAAGCTTTAACAAGGCTTTAATTCTTCACAATTCCCACATCCACACCACTTAAAATATGAATTTCAGTTTCTTCTAACATGAATTGGTGTTTATTTCCTCACCTCTTCAATATGGGTTAGCCTAGAGACTTGCTTTAGTGAACAGAATGAGGGGCAAGGGATCAGCTTCCAGTTTCAAACCTGGGCCACAGGAATTCTTGAATGCTTATACTCATTTGTTTATATCCTTAATTCCACCATGAGAACAAGCTTATAATACTCTTCTGAAGCAGGAGACCACACAGAACAGAGATGAGTGGTTGCAGTTCTGACCATCCTAGAACACTCAGTCCCCAACAATTCACCAATTGATTACAGCTACATGAGTAACCCTAGCCAAGTAAGGCCAACTGCATCTAGCCCAGTTCATCAGAACCATTGAGCTGAAAAACTGTTTGTTGTTTTCCCATAAAAGTCAATGCTTTAGATTATATTTATGTTTTAGCAATGTCTTATGCTGTCTTATGCGTGTGGAAACTGTAAAAGACTAAATTCACATGATGTCATTTTTTTGTAGTGCAATAATAATTCTGGCAAATACATTCCGGCAGTGAATATGTATAAATATTCAGGCCTTACATTATTTCACTGTTAAGTCTTTTTAAAATATCATAACTATGTTTATAGTAGTAACTATTATTGTTAAAACATCTATTATGCACATCATTATAGAGTTTTATAAATGCAATCTTACAAAAAATAAGTTAAATTTCTGTTTAGCTCCATGTCATAAAAGAAGACTCGATAGATAGGTAAGTAAAAAGTCAGATTTAAAAATCTGAATTACTCCAAATAAACTATTTTTTGCACAATAGCAACTTATTTCACTTAGTTAATATTCTCTCTCTCTCGTTCTCTGTCTTTTCAATATGTCATCACATTCCTATTCAAGGACTACATTTGGCTATATTTTATTCAGATCACACACTGGTAGTCTCAACAAGATAAATATATGTGAGAGGAAAGTAAAACTTCACATTCACTAGAAAGGTGGAACTAACAGAAATCCCTGTCACTTATTGTGTCCTTCAATTTAAAATTACATTTGACATTGATGCCTTTGGTATTTTTTGAGTCTTCTTTATATAAGTCAAGTTCATAGAATAATACCACTATTTTATGTTATTTCATAATCCATGTGTCAAAAAGCATTTATGTGTCTGGCACATACTAGGCCCTGCAGAGACAAATATAAACAAGATGATGATTTGTCACTTTTAAACTCTAGCCAGATGGGAATTCATCTCGAACATGGAAGTTCATTCAAACATGAACTTGGAAGAATTTGAGACTATCAAGAATATGTGACTCTAAGAATGCCATGGATTCCTTTGTTTTCAGCACAGAGGTCTCAGACACAATGGAATGTCTAAGATAACAATGAGAGCAACTACAACATCTTAGATACAAGGAATCCAGCATTTGTTTATACTTGAATATGTTATCTGAAAAATGGTAGCCTGAATATTTAAAAAGCACCAGACTTCCAGCAAAGACGGAGGTATAGGTATATACTCTTTGCCTTCCCACATGACCAAAAGAAGGACAACAACAAACTTAAAAACTAAAAAATAACAGAAATATCAAAAAAATCAAACTATATGGAAGTGTGAAAATCAAGGAGTTAAAGAAGAAACATTAATCCAGATTGGTAGGAGGGGCAGAGATGGGTAGCCATGGCAGAGAGGACACACAGCTAGGTAGCAGCTGGAAGACCTGGAGGGCCAGGAGGACTGGGTGGTCCCACACTCCCATGAGGATAAATTGGGAGGAACAACTGGGGAGTGAGACAGACCATGCAACCCAGGGTTCCAGTGCAGGGATATAAAGCTTTAAAACCTCTGGCTGTAAAAATCTGGGAATTGCAGAAGCAGGAGAAACTCACAGCCTAACAGGAGAGATCTTTGGAGAGATCCACAGTCTTATATATATGACCCATGGGCATCAACTGAGGGTGGTGGAATGTTGATGGGAGGGGTTTAAAGGGCAGAGGGGAATAAAGGGTAGAAAATGTGACAACTGTAATAGCATAACCAATAAAATATATTTAAAATATTTTAAAAGCACCAGAAAAAGATGCACTTCACCATTGAATGGAGAAATCTATAGACTAAAATTTTTTAATAGATGGTGTCTTGTTACTATTGCAGACTTTGAATAAGTATCCCTCCAAAATTTACACTCCACCCACACCTTTTATTTAACAATTCAAATTTCAGAATCAAGTTGATCCAATGTCAATAACAATGATTCTTAGCAGGGCTCATTTTAAGTGTATCTATTTATAAATTATCTGAATGGACTGTAGGGTTTAAAATTTGAGGCTTAATAATGAATATAATTTTCTTTGTACTTCTTTTATCTCTATTCCTCCTTACATCACTTATTCTGCATTCATATAGCAAAAACAGAAAAGGGAAAAGAAAGAGCTAACTTCTGGTTTTGAGAATCTATTAAGGGACAAAAGAATGAGGGAGTAAATCAATAAAAGTTTTAGAGACAAAAATATATTAGTTACATCTTACCCCCAATATGACTGACAGCGCATGGCAAAAATTATCTCTTTGAGACTAAAATTCTTCATCCATAAAAGTAGAGCACTGGCTTGTTGGACAGATCACATGCAATAACAAATTTGTAGCATTTACTGAAGTACTTTCCCTTTAATAAGTGATAAATATTATCTATTGATGGCAGAAAAGGGATTCCAAATTAAGTAGATATATAAGTGAAAGTTGGTTCTTACCACGTTCTAGCTGCAGGCCAACTCGGGAAGGGTACCACTGAGGGCCTATTCAATGACAAAAAATAACATTTAATTGTCAACACAAATGTAAGTACTTTTTTATATTTAATGATTTTGAGAGAGAATTTATTGTTCCACTTATTTATCCATTCATTGCTTTTTCTTGTAAGTGCCAAACCGGGGAGTGAATATGCAATCTTAATGCATCAATATGAACCAACTAACCAACAATTAAAACCAACTAACCAACAGTAGTTCTAACTACCCAGATAAAACTAAACAGATTTTAAAATCTAGAAGTTTTCACTGAATGACATATTAGATCTTAGGAAGTGAAGAAAATAATATCCAGTGTCAGAAATGGAGATAGTGGTTACCCTTGGCAGGGCACTGAGAAGTAGTGCTAGATAATTCTGAAAGAAAGCATGGTAGAAGCGTTAGGGGTGGTAAACTTTCTGCTTTTTAATTGGAGACTGGTTATGTAAAAGCATTCAATCTGTGGACATATACTAACGTATGTGACCTATGTATGACTTGTACACTTCATGCAAGTTAACAACTTCATTAAAATTGAAGTACTTTGATCTCATGTATAATGCATTTATTATTGGCTTGTGAAAGTTGGTTATTTTCTGTATTAAGACTAAGACACTCTATCAGTATAATATGTATTATTGACATCAATATTATGGCCATAATTATCATAGTATAAACATCACTTCAGTATCTTCTACTTATACTACCATTAGGAATAAAAGGATGACTGAAGAATTCTATGTGGATAGGAAAATCAAGACATCTTCATTATATACTGCCATAATAAAAATGTTGGTTCACAATTAACAAACTGTAATTCTTTTCTCTTACAATAAACCCTATGTTATTTTAAAATCTCTATTGAAAATTTAATTATTGACTATGAAGTCCACTTTTAAGCAAATAAATGATAAATAATTCTTTAAAAAGAGTATTTTCATAGGAACATTCTGCAATTATTATGTTTTGAAAGCATTGCTTTTTAAAGTGTCAGTAAGAATAATGATAATGGAACATCACCAGACTGTTGCAATCAGTTATCTCTAAAGTTGCTTTAAAAAAGACAACTTATGCATGCAAGTTCTAATAAAAAATAACTCATAAGTCAAAAGTCCTAATCACTGGTTAAAAGCTATTTGAAATTTTAAAAAAAAGTTAGTAATAGCATGGCAAATGAAGAAGGCAGACATATTTAACTTTGACATCTGATTTTTCTAATTAGAAAATATGTAGATAAAGGCACATTATTTTTCTTTTGGTTTTTTATTTGCTAATGCAATTATTATTTTTTATATAGTCATTTGTTGCTCTGGAATGTATGTTGACATTATTTGTTGAAAAATATTTTAAAATAGCTACCTTATTACTCATAGTGAGAATCTGCTTCCATAGAAGATACAATGCAAAGGACTATAAAAGAGACTTCCATAGTTTTAAATGTTTCCAACCATGGATATTAGAAAAATATATAAACAATATAAGATCCTTTTATATTTGACAAATGTTCAATGAGTACCTATGATTAATGTACATAAGTTGTCATATTCTAACCATCCTAATGATATTCATACAAGACATCACTTTCAATAGTGCTTGAGGATGCCTTTAATGGTGGGAAAGTCAATGCAAAATGAACTTTATCATTCTAAGCAAATATTTATGTCTGTGAACTACATAAGTGAGTACTGGCAGCATTCATGAAAATCAAGGGTCAGAGAACTTAGAAACTCTAAACACCTTCAGGAAAATCCATGTCTTTCCAACTCCTTCAACATGGATCAACTGCAAAACTACTTAAAAAATCGACTTGACATGTACAGGTTGTGATGTTTGAAAACTATGCTGGTGAGAGAGTTATCTGCCTATGTAAGCCTTTAGATCAGTTTCAGTTATCTTTTATTAGTCAATTATCGTTTAAAAGAATAAAGTATACATTTTCTGAAATGTTCTTTACTTGTTGAAGTGAGGTAGAGTAGGCTAAAAATGGCAGAAAAAAGAGACAATTTACAAAGGATAAAGCACTTAGGTTAAAAAAGAATTTTTGGCATGCAGGAATAGTCTAGAGGGTTATTTATAGTTCTGAGCATATTGAACTTAACTGACTCACAGCTGAATTATTATTATGTAATAGATCTAATGCTTTAGGCAGTATCTTAAATTATCTAAGATGCTGATCTTGATTTGTATAACTTTTAGTGTAGTTTAGCCATGCTTTACAGTTTTTTCTTTGATAAGTGAAAAGGTTTATATCACTGTGTAATAACATTCTAAATAAGTAAAGTCTTAATATAATTCAAATGTATTTGTTTCAATAAGGTGATGTTTATCAAACTGTTGTGAGCCATTAGTAAGTTAAAAGTGGAATCAATGTGTTATTTTCAGCGTTTTATAAAATAAAATGGAGGAAAAGAAAGGAGTGGAATGGAATGGAAAAGAATGGAATGGAATGGAATGGAATGGAATAGAATGGAATGGAATGGAAAAAGGAAAAAAAGGAAAGGAAAGGAAAGAGTGTAGTACAAATGGATTGTCATATCACTGGATGCAACATATTGGAATAAGTTTGTTTTTCAAATTTTTGTTTCAACAGTTTCAATATTCTGTTTTTATATCAATAATATGAATTTCTCATTCTGTATCATAATCTAAAAAGTGTGAACTCCATGGGTTTAAAAACTTTATTTTTTACCCTGGCTGGTGTGGCTCAGTGAATTGAGTGCCAGCCTGTGAACTAAAGGATCTCTGGTTCAATTCCCAGTCAAGATGCATGCCTGGGTTGCAGGCCAGGGCCCCAGTAGGAGGAGCACAAGAGGCAACCACACATTGATGTTTCTCTACCTCTCTTTCTCCTTCCCTTCCCCTCTCTCTAAAAATCAATAAATAAAATCTTAAAAAATACATTTTTTTAATTTCCCAAAACTATTTATTATAGATCTCTTACATAAAAATTAGCATCGGTGATTGAATTAAATCCTGTAAGGTAAAACAAACTTGAAGCATTTAAATATTTTACTTTTTCAAAATAACCTTTTTAAAATTTGCAATGATTAAAGGAAATGGTAACAATATAAGTCATATTAGATTTAAACAATCTAAATTATGTTATAAGCCACATTCATTCAAGTACATATGCCAGAAGCCTGCCCTTGTTTTGTTTTAACCTAGGAGCATGTTAATTATTATTATTTGTGTTATAATTGGATTTTTTCTACATGATATTGGTTGATAGTATAAATTTTAATTTAAATTCACTACTTGTGTTTTCAGATATCTAATTTTACAAATGATAAAAGTTGGCAATGGACAAGTAAACTATTTTATTCTTAATGGTAGCGACAGTCTATCTTTGTATATATAGAAATACAGAGCTGATAAATAATCAAAACATAGACTAAGGCATAGAAAAATTAAATCCTTTGGGGTGGTATATAGTTTGCAAGATAATAATTACTATTGATAGTTCTTGATTATTGGTGGTATTAAATACTTAACTGAAACCAATGTGTCATATTATTACTGAGAGAAGGGACATATAGAAAAAAAAATACTGGAGAAATTTTCAGAAATAATTGGTATCCTTGGTGACCTAGAACCTGAATTCCTCACTTAAGACTCTAAGTAAATATCCCCTAATATTTACTTACAGTAAATATTACTTCAACTCCTATTACACCCCCAACTCCTACCCTTTCTTGATACCACCAGTCCTACTAAGAAGAAGTTCTAAGAGCAGTGAAATGTCGCTTAAAAATATAGTCATGAGGATATAAAGTACAGCAAAACAAATATAGTCAGTGATATTGTAATAACAATGTATGGTATCAGTTGGGTACCAGATTTAATGGGGTGATCAATTCATAGCTTATATAAATTTCTAATCCTATGTTTTACACTTGAAAGTAAACAATATTGTATGTTATCTGTAATTGAAAAAATAAACAAAAGACACTACTTAATTTATGTGATGGTATAATTATAGTGAACCGTGGAGAGAGAAAATGGTGACAAACATTTATTGTTTATATTCTGTGCTGTCCGTGGCTGGTGTGGTGTTGGGATGAAATGTAAAGATAAACAAATGGCTCTGAGAAGTGTGATCTGCAGAGTTGCTCTGCTCAAGAGTTCAGCCAGAGAAAGAAAAACGATATTACACAAGTTTCTACATGGCTGAGTTCAATTCCTCAAGGTTCCTGAAATTCATGTAGGAAAAATAAGCAAAACGGAGTGTCTTTTCATGGAACTGTAAAACGAGGACACTATCAACTAGACTAAGGAACCGCATACCCAGTAGACCCTTTCTTTCTATCATTAGATGGACACCTAACCTATCAACTCTGAGAAACACGAGCTGGTGACAGGGCGAAGCAATGAGATGCACTAAACAATGGTTTGCAAAGAACCCTGTGTATATGTGAATAATTCTATATAAAGTAACAGAATATACATATGCTTGCTTATATAAAATAATAATAAGATGATAATGATAATTTATTTTCATATGGAAAAATAAATAAGATACTGGACAACAGTAGTGTACAATAAGAAAGGTGTTCAGATTTAAAGCATTTTGAATACCTTACTTATTTAATGGTTAATCTTAGACTTTGATAAAATAGTTTTAATGAACAGTTTTATTAATAACATTCCATAATTCTATGAAGCCAAACTTTTCTTAATAACTTTCAGTTATTTCTCTAATTTTGGCAACTAAAGATGTGTACAAACTTCCTCCTTTCCTGTCAAGTAAAAACTTGCTCCAACAGGAAGTTCTCATGCATATAAAACAAAATCAAGGATCAGGAAGTGTTTACCAGGGAATGGAATGGTGAATATGGAACAGGATGGTGTGACAGAATGTCCCTGCATTGCATCATCATTTTAGTTATATTGCTTTATAAATTAGTGCAGTACCGTTACCTTGTTTCCAAGCATTAAAAGCCTAAAAGTCTGACAAAAAAGCAGGCACATGAATTCAGTTTCCTTTTTCATAAGAAATAAACATCAAGTAT